TTTTAGCCTTGTAAAGCACTTTGGTCAACACCAGTTGTTTTTAAACGTGCTATACAAATAAACTTGCATATTGTATATCATCACCATCAGTCTTTCTTTTCTCCTTCTTGATTTGCTGGAGGGAGAATAAAGATGAGAAACATCTGATTTAAGAGGAAGAACTTAGAGAGAGGGAGGAAGATCTAAAAGGAAAGATCTACATCTTCTCTATTTGGCAATCAATTACAGATCAGCATGAAGATGAATCTCGCCGAACCTGACAGGAACATGTAAACGTGAGTGTATTTCTCTTTAAAATCCTAATCACTGGTTCTGTACCTTCCTCTTCAGCAGCTTCCTCTGCTTTCGGCTGCGTCTCCTCTTCCTCCATCATCATTGTGAAGAAGAACATACAATACACAAGTGTTTACAGGTCATAGAAATATATGAATATGATTCTAGTCTCTAATGGATTTGTATATTTGTGTGTCTTTTTCTGAATGTGTTTTTATGCTCACGCTCTTCTTGTCTTCTTGCGCTCCTTGTTGGCCATAATGACACCGATACACAGCGTCTCGTACACCGGATCGGTGCGGTTCGTCTGAGCTGCAGACACAGAGAAACTTCAGCACTCAATTACTGCTGTGCATCGGAACTTTTTATAGTAATAATAAAAACCAACAATGATAATAAAATCTAAATAATAATAATAAAAGTTAAAATAATAATAACTTCATTAAATATAATAATAATGCTTATAATTATGAATAGTTAAATATTAAACATTACTATTAAATATGCAAGCACGCTATTTTATATAATAATAATAATAACAACATCTAGATATTATATTAATATTCTTGTGTATATTTTTATGTATTTGTATATTATATACTAATTATATAATAATAGTTATGTATACACTTATTCTTATTCTTATTAAAAATAATAAAAAATTATATATAAATTCTACATTGTTATTACAATTATGTATATCAATACATATTTGTATTATATAATTATTAATATAATCATTATTATTATCAATAATAATAATTATTATTATTATTAAAAATAATAATTATTATTATTAACAATAATAAT